GTGGTGTAAAGCATTCCAGATTGCTTGGCAGTGAAAGGGTTAAAAGAGAACTATGGGGTAAGTGTTTTTCCCCATAGTTCTCTTAAGGGTCACTATGGGAAAAATAAAGCATTCCAGAGGGCTTTGCAGTGAAAGGGTTAAAAGAGAACTATGGGGTAAGTGTGTTTCCCCATAGTTCTCTTAAGGGTCACGGGAGGACATATACTAGCGTCCTCCCGTGACCCAAAGCTCAGTATATCGCGAGCTACAGCTTGCGGTATCCTGAGACCGCCGCAGCCGGGGACGGATCCCAACAATGCTGTCGAGATCCACCCAGCTGCGTGAGTGACAGCTGACTCTGCCTATCTAGAGGCTGAGCCAGCTGTGTCCGCCCCGTCCTCCGTTCATTACTCCACTCAGCGCTGGAGGATCGGAGCGGGGAGGAGGGAATCCCAACCGGGGAGTGGTGACTGACAGTCACCACTCTCTGCAGGGAGATGATCAAGAAGTGAGCGAGCAACAGTATGTGTTTGCTCACTTTCCGATCTATTGAGCCGACATGTGACAGTTTCATTGCCACACGTCGGCTCGAACTATGAGGATGAGTGATTTTCACTCACCTCATAGTTCTCCTTTAAATGTGCCCTTGACAAAAACTAGAATTTAACCCTGGCAGTGCGGATCATTTTCCGTGGAGTTCAGCTTTAACCTTTATAATTTACATTGTTATCATGAAATTGTTGTCTCTTATGACCAGGACTTATAACATTTGAGGCTTTAGAAGCCAGAAACACATGAAGAAAGTGTCCTATGAGGCGTTAGGAAAGGTCACATATTTACAAAAACAAAATTCTGGGTGTCTTTGGAATGTAATATATAAACTATTACATAGAAACTCTGCAAATGTCAAATTATATTAAATATGATCATATCATTTTCAAAGTCTGTTATAATCTTGTTAGAGCTACAGATTTCAAATAATACTTGGTAATTCTGCCATTAAGATCCTGGTTCAGGCACCTGTTAAGGGGTTGACTGTTCCTATCTCCTAATTTTTCTCCTACGTTGTCGCCCTGTCACACTGGACTTGGGTGGAGACTGTAAAGCTGGGTATACACAGTTCTATTTTTTTGTTTTGTTCAACCTGCGGGCTGAACAACAAAAATAGAACAGATTCATCCCTCAATGCTTACAAGCATTGGTCGAGGAATCCCCTGCTGTTTCTATTGTATTCAGAATACCTAAACAGAGCTTGTAGCTGATTGGCTGCTAGCTCTGTTTGGCCAATAATTTTCCAACCTACTCCTTCAATCAGCTGATCAAAGGGAGAGATTACGGAGCCCAAGAAACATTCGAGAAAATCCAATTTTTGTTTTATGTATGCCGTAAATTTGCTGTATTTACGCTGTGGCTGGTGTTTACATATCTGCACATAGCACCTACTGTGCAGATACAATGATGTTTGGCTTGCTCTGGGTTTGCATTGATGCAACAGTCTTCACACATATGGTCTACTAGATCAGATCCAATGTGTCTGAAACATGTCAACAAATTTTTTTTGTTGTGATTGTAGTCTTATGTTAAAGGCAATGCAACTTTTGGAGTAGAAAGAGCACTGTTATAGACTCCATTGTGGACAGGAACAGACAGGGCTGTGGAGGAGACATCCTAGTTATAAAAAGCCAGCTGAATTATTACTTTTAGGGCCCAGTCACACCATATAAAGTTTGTTACGGTGCGTGGTTCGAGGCCAGAACGCACTGGATCGCATAGATCAAGCCGGGCAGCGTTCTGGGGTGGGAGGGGGCATGTCAATAGCACGGCAGACACGCCCCCCACCCGCTGTGCAATTGTGAGGTACAGAAATGCCATCCGTTTCGGTGCATGCAGCATTTTATCAAATAGCACTGCACCAGAACGTAGGCACTGGTGTGCCACGCGTTCTGGTGCGGTTGATCGCACTGCAGGTGGGGGGTGTAGCTGTGGTGACATTGACTTCAATGCACCGCCACGCCCCCTCCCACCACTGAACGCAGGGAGCCTGCCTGGATGCATCCAGTGCGTTCCAGCAGCAAATTGTGCTGGAACGCACCGGAGTTGGTGTGAACCAGCCCTAAGGGTGGAAGGGTCCTTTAAGTAAACTGTATATGAATTGTGGCGGTGAATCACCAGTGACAAAGAAGGCAGTTGCTCTTTATCTGCTGTCAACATCCAATATTTATATGTATACAGATAGGTTTGTAGACAATGACTGCTGATCTGTACATACTGTAGATACAAGCTACATGTTTATGTTCGGAGAAAGAGACAGCCCAGGTAGATAAACACATACATACAGGCTAAAGCATGGCCATGCACTGTATGCTTTTTCTTGTTTAGCCCCACAGGCTGAATGAGAAAAACCCCTTGCTTACCCCATGCACACTAACAGCATGGACCAGAACCCCGCCCTTGCAAGCAAGTGGTCCCCTATAGAATGTTAGTCAATTTACAGGAATCAGCTGGAGATCTAACAGTGGATGGCCCTGCCGCCTCGACAAAGTCAGTTACCCAACTGACTTTTGTCATTGGAGCCGGCAGAACATTTTTGGATGAACAGTTTTTGCAGCGGATCAGCAGCCGGCACCGGCTGTCAGAATACAATAGCCACAGCAGGAGATTTGCCCATGCACTCGGTTTAGCGCAGATGAAGAAATCTGTTAGAGAAGAAAAAAACGATTAGTGTATGGCCAGCTTAAGTGTAGACAAAAATAATGATTAAAAAAAGGATTGCAGGATGCTCCCCTCCTCATCCAGAGATCAGATGATTAATAAAAAAGTAGGCTAGAAGTATCCTTTTTATTACAATATGATCTATGACATCATGTCTAATAGAAGGATTGTTATTATGCATTGGTTCAGCCACAGCAGTCTGCATGTTTGCTCTGCAAACAGCTTTACCGAGGTGGAAGTCAATGTTCAGGTGACAGCTGGTGAAAGGGAAGGTACGGCAGTGACCTTGTAAACCAAGTCAGTGGAAGAAAGCAAAATCAGTGTCTGTACAATATTTATATTCTTTCTTGCTGGAAAATTGTGCATGTCATTGTAACTGATAACGAGGCCTATCTTCAGTGTGTAGTCTTCTTAAATGGTAGTGCCCAACTCCAGCCAAAACCTGTCTTTAGTGTGGAATAGACCTAGAACCTCTATCCCCCTTTTGGGGAATTTCTTCTTACTGAGAAGATAGAACAGGAAATTAGGGAAAATCTCTACTTCCTGTCTATTTGATGGTTGCTCCCACTTCCAATTTGGTGGCTGTCAGACTGAACAAGAAATTAGGCTCAATCCCCTCAACAGACACATAGGCAACACTGAAAACATATTTTCCAGTAGCGTGGCAAAGGTTTAGAACCTCTGTCGGGATTTTTCCATTTCCTGTCAGCAAATGGCAGATTTACTTCCAGTCCAAATAACAGGTGTCAGACCAGGAGGTAGAAATTGTTACAACAGGGACAAAAACATCATTCAAAATGTAAAAGAGAAGCCTACTCAGTGGGACACAAACAACATTTATAACTTGACAGAGGTTTAAACCCTCATTCTAAAACTTAACGAAAATGTTCTCTGGAGTTACATTGAGGGGATTGAGCCTCATTTCTAGTTCTGTCTGACAGCCACCATCACCCTCTGCTCTGGTGATGGAATGTCCTTCGGCAACCTCACGTCCAAAGCAATGTATTGGACGTGAGGACATAGGGTTCTAAGACTACCAGAGTGAAGGGGGAGCGATGCTGCTGGGACCGGTCTAGCAGTCAGCTGGGTCCGAGATTCGGGTGGGTATGTCTGTATTGTTTTAGACCCTAGGTGAAAACAAGGGAGTAACCCTTGCATCGCTGTGAGCAGCCAGCGTCTCTTATCCCCGCACCGCTCAGCCTCCTGTCACAGATTGGCAGAGCGATGTGTGGGCGAAGACAGCCAGCGCTGTCACAGGAGGCTGAGCTCCGCATGCTCAGCCCCCTGTGACAGCTGTCAGGAAGGAGAGCGGGTACAAGCACTCAGTGATCAGTGATTGAGGACATAGTATGGTTACTGTATCCTCAACTATGAATGATTGGGAGTGATCTACATCACTTCCTGTTCATTCATGATTGAGGATATAGTAAACATACTCTGTTCTCATGTTATGAATGAACAGGAACACTCAGTATACTGTAGAGGATTCCTGTTCATTGATAACAGGGGCTGCAGAAAAAGAAATTGAGGACTTATTTTAAAAAGGAAATATCAGGGGTCTGTTTAGATCCCTAATATTTCCCCCGAAGCCCCTAAAAGTAAAGTAAAAAATAAAAATATTTAATAAAATAAATATAAAATTTTTTAAAAGTTTATAAAAAATAAATAAAAATAAAATATTTTGAAAAAGTTAGAATACATTTTTTTCGGTTTCAACCCGGCATTTGTTTTTCCTTTCGGTTTTGTTTCGGTTTCAAAATTTTAATTTTGGTGCACCTCTACTTGCAATGCTTAGCATTGCTTCTTTTACCAATGTGTGTACTTTTAATATTTTTTTCCAAAAAGTGAACTATGCTTTTAACCTTTAGCCTGTGTTGAAAATGCAAAACCTGCATGAGGCACTTCAAATTCAGGTCAGAAGTTGGTCAACTGCAGGTCATATATACAATACCTGTCAATGAATGTCAGTGATAACAATGCATTGCAGCTCATTGCAGGGCATGTTCACAACACACACCAGAGCTCACTGATGTGACTGAGCCCTTAAGATCTCATTTACCAATATCAGTGGCTGCTGCGTTTGTAGATTTTATGGAACGTGTTATGTTTCCTACAACTATGTCATGTGTTGTCAATTGTTAGAGTCGGAACACATGTGAGGATATGTGATACAAGCTTGTATAAGAGATATAAATCCTAATAACATGATCCTTTTCAATGGAAGCTCCTTGGAAAACTCTCCGAGGAGCTGAAGAATAGTATTTGATTCTGTTATATAATGAAGATTTGATTTCCTTTCTTTCTTTCAGACTCCACTTACTGACACCGAATCTCCGGAGGAGTACAGCCAAACAGTGAAGCAGGTAACAGAGTGTTCTTTTTTTATCAAAAGGTTATTTTTTCCTAAAGAATTGTTCTGTTTATTGAAAAAGAGACATTGATATGCTAGTATCTCCCTGCTTCATCTGTGTCTGAAAGTTCAAACCATTAAAGGAGGCAAAAATAAGTGTAAAGGTACAGTGACTCCACACACAATTGGAAATTAAAGCAGACCTTTTAATAAATGTATAGGCCTGCATAAATACATTTCATAACAAGAGTGAGGGGTATTTATCAAAACTGGAGCAGACAAAATCTGGAGCAGCTGTGCATGGCAATCAATCAGCTTCTCTCTTTCATTTTCAAATCTTAACTGAACAAACTGAAGAGAGAAGCTGATTTGATGCCATGCACAGTTGCTCCAGATTTTATCTGCTCCAGTTTTGATAAATCCCCCCCATGTGTTTTTTTTTTTCTTGAAAAGCTGTACCTATTATATTAAAAAATGGACATTGAGTTACAGTCAGGTGACTTCTCCTAGGCTGAGATGATGTCATCAGTCTGCTGCAGGCAGGAGGAAGAATACCATAGTCACCTGAGACTGCAACATTGTAATTAGCATGTCACAAAGTGAAAGCAGGAGTAGGGGCTTACCTGACATTTTAGAATTTTAGAACACAGCTTAGACCTGCACAAAACTAAGATTTACATGATTGTGCCATCACTGAGGCCCTGTTCACACCTATCTATTGTAGATCATTGTATTAACACACGTTATGGTTTAGTTACTGTGCATTGCAGTAAGGCCGCCTATTTATTTGAATGGGCTGCCAATTCACCAGAATGCAAAAAAACACACCTGCACCTTATTTTGCAATGCATTGCACCACAATGGCAATGTGTTTTTGTGTGTTGTGGTGTGCTTGAAATGAATGGCACCACAATGCACTTATGCATGTAATGCATAGGTGTGAAGCCAGCCTGAGCATGCAAGTCAGTCTATTTATTTATTATTGGTATTTATCTATATAGCGCTGAGAGTTTACGCAGTGCTTTACATAGTGCACATTCACATCAGTCCTTGCCCTCAATGAGTTTACAATCGAAGGTCCCTATCAAACATGCACACAGGGCCAATTTAGACAGAGCCAATTAACCTTCCAGCAAGTCTTTGGACTGTGCGAGGAAACCGGAGTACACAGAGGAAACCTAGACAAGCACAGGGAGAACATGCAAACTCCATTGAGAATAGCGTCCTGACCAGTATTTGAACTGGGGACCCCCAGTGCTGCCTGGACAGTCACATAGGGAGGCAGTGGTGTGCCAATGTCACACGGGGAGGTTAACTTAGACACCATTGTTGGAGGAGTGGGCTATCAGCAGACACAGTCGCTCTGCCCTGAATGGGCTGGTGGCAGTACATTTGAAGTAACATACTGCCCTCCTACTAACCTTGTGAGATGGGCTGTGTGTGATGTGGATGGGATGAACAACAAAGAACTCAAATACATTTCGTAGATCCCTGGTTGGTCTCACCTGTTGATTGACATTGCTTTTTAAGAGTAGATGGATGCCCAAATAACTGGCAGATCTAACATAAGACAAAGCATGGAATGGTTTCAGGTCTGAGAAGCCTGGGCTACGATCTACACAGGACATAGCATATGTAGGTGAAACAGGCTTGCAATGCATACAGAGGTAGAAAAGAACATATGGGAAGCTTCCTTGGCAATCAAGACATTATGTAGACAATATGGAGAAGTATAGATTTATA